GAAATTACATTTTTGGGGCTTTTATCTTGCTCCTCTTGTTGTCCCTTATTGAAATATATGCTGGAAGTTGTTTTAAATGCTAGAAATTACATTTTTGGGGCTTTTATCTTGCTCCTCTTGCTGCCCCTTATTGAAATATATGCTGGAAGATTGTTTTAAATGCTGGAAATTACATTTTGAGGTTTACATTTTGCTTCTCTTGCTGCCTCTTGTTGAAGTGTATGCTGGATTTGAGTTTTGCCTTTGAGTTGTTGCCTTACTCGCGAGCTTTTGATTAAAATTGAAGTTGAAGGGCTTTGATAATGGTGTGATTTTTAGAGGTATAGAAAGATGTTCCCTATGAATTGTTATTCTATATTTTATGAAATGAGGAAGACTTTTGAAGTTTCATTTTGGGTTTGATATAAATTGAAGTCATGTTGGGTTTGGAAATCCATAAAAGCGCTACTTGGAAATGATATCCTTTTCGGGATTGATCCGATCATTTTCTTTTTAACAAATTTAAATGTTTTAGACCGAAACATTTGTGAGTTTTATTGATTTAATTCGGTTTTAAAAATGAATCGGTCTCATTTTTGTTTGTTTTATTTTATTTTTAACGGTCGAGTTAAAAATGGAATTTCCGATTTAATTAATTAAATTCAGAAATGATTTATAATCTCAAAGGAAATAAGGGAGAAAGAGAAGATAAGAGAAAACTGAAATTGAAATTTGAATTTTTGGGATGATACAATCTAAAGAGGAGACAGGGTAACGAACAATCTACTTTTTCTTTTACATAAGAAAAAAATAAATTGCAAATTGGAAGACTAGTTGGAATCGGAAGAAATGAGAATTTAGATAACGATTGAGAGATTAGTGGACTTACACTTAGATCCCTTAAGAATTGAATCAATTTAAAATCCAATTCCTCTAACTAGGATTGAAGCACAACTCACAACTCTTTTGCCAAAACTATGAATTTACCCCTGGGTTTTAGGAGTCTGGTAGCGAGTTAAGTTGTATCTGTAGATGTTTGAGAGTTAGTGGAAAAACACTTAATTGAGATTAGACACCTTAGGACACTTCAAGTTAACCTAAAGTGCAGACATCCTAAATTTTAGAAGCACAACTTAAGAGATAATTTACCATCCTAATTTTCAAATGACCCTAAGAAATCCAAACATCTAACCTCAGTTTAGAAGATAAGTAGGACACTAGACACGAGGTTGCACTAGATTGTGACTCATCATTGATTTAATTAAATCAAATAATGAAATTCTTACCTTAACTTGACCAAAACTGAAACCCAATGCTCCGGGATTTGAATTTGTCATACATTCAAATCCTCCTGGCAATTGGGGACATTCCAATATCACATATAAATTTTCTATTCTTGGTTCTTTATATGTGGTATGGTATTTCATTTTATTTGTTTATTTTTTTCCTTGCGATTTACCTGTTTCTATTAAATCTTTTTCAGGTCGTACTTCCCTCTTTACACAGCCCTCTTTACACAGCATTAAA